TAATGTAATAAACGGATGGACAAGCGGTCGATCAGCTTCCCTTGATTGGATATTGATCAGCTGTTCGGAGAACGTCGCTCACTCGAGCGAAAAAGGAAGCAAGGGAAAATGTTGCAGCGTATTTTTACACCGAGTTCGCCGTCTGGAGTAGCTACGATTTGCCTTTTTAAATAACTCCCTTTTTCTCTCCCTCTGCTTGTCTGACACTCCCTCTTCTTCTTTCTCTGGAAAAGTTCACGGGTCATGGATAAGGACGTCGCCTTGCGTAGAAAATATTGATATGTTGATTGCGTCTTTCATGCCTTGCATTTTCGACAAAAGGTACGTTTTAACGCGCCGCGTCTTACGTAACTTAACCTTTCAACTTTCGGAATCGCCCACAAATCATCTCAATTTAAATAGATCGAATTACCAAGTTACAAATCTCTATTATTTCTTTCAGAAGTCTAAAAATAATGTACGTAACATTGCGGAGTGCGATCTTAAATATCGCTGCACTTTCGACGATGTGTAGTGCAGAGAAAATGATAAAAGTACTTTGAGATAATATTTTGCAGAGATACATATTTAGCAGATAATTAGGCGAAGAAATTATACCTATACCCTGTACTGTACCTACAAAAAGATCAAATTGCAATATCGTTAAGACAATCGATATACGTGACAAAAAATCAGGCGAACGTACAAGTTGTTACGGTTAATTATAGTGATGTCGAGAAACGCCTCGTTACGTTAGTTAGTATCAAGACACTCAGATCCTCTCTTGCTTGCAGCGAACAAAAAGCAGTTTGCATACTCAAGCTAAGTACGTCAAGATACTCGTGGAGCGTTAATACAACAAAGGGGCAAGTAAAACGATGCGCCAGCCTCTTTTGGTGGAATGATTGATTTTTGAAGAAAGAAAGTAAACTATGTAGCTAATGAATTATGTACTACGAAGTATTTATAATACCCTTTATTCTTCGCGTTTATAAACATATAATACTATATCGTATAACAAAAGAAACTATATAATATATATCTTTAAGCAATGAACAATATTAAAAATTTTACGTGTCACTTTTTAAGTTGTTGAACCAACCTGTTTAAAATGATAATGAAAGAAATTTTTAACTAACCACACACAAGCGCTTTCCTCTCTCTTTCTCTCCGCACGATAAATTCTGTACGCGCTAGGTTGGATTTTTCTCATTTCTCGTGAAATTTACATGTTTTATTAATCGAAATATAACGTGCGCACAATGGATGTGAAAGGAAAACGATGCAAAAACGACGGAAAAGTAATTATTAACATTATGTTCGAATCACGCTGACGATTGACATCTGTGTTCGTGATCAAAGACCGATTCTCAATTCTTAATTCTCAATTCTCAATTCTCCATTCTCAATTCTCAATTCTCAATTCTCAATTCTCAATGGAGAATATAATGCTGGGGTGTATAATACACCCTGTTAGAGGATTAGATTTAAAAAAATCGCGCAAGTATATATAATAATACAGGGTTAATTGAAACCGCACGTAATAAATTTTTATGGATATTATAGTATAAATTCGTAACATATGATTGTAACATTTATGATCATTTGAAATGCGCGCATAGATTGAACGTGAGAGTAGACTCAGATTCATAATTAAGTGTGTGTGTGTATCGCGTACAAAAGAGTAATGAAGGACAGATCACTAGAGAATTAATAATTTTGTCAAGGAGACATTTCACGCCAGGCCTCGTTAATTTTAATAGATTACGCGAGGAGTGACAAAGCCATTCATTGTTCACAGTCCTCGTCTGAGACTACCTGAGGAGGAGGAGACAAAGCGTTAGAGTGTCTAGACAAAAGTTGAAAGCGAGTACCGAGCACTTTCCATATATGAGTAGACTATTTCGAAAGCGGCATAGTTGCAATTTGAAATTGCTGTTAACTTAAGTACATTGCATAAGCGATCTTTGTCTTACTTAAGTTTTCTGTGTCTTGGAATTTCGAAATCCAAAATTTATCCATCTTTCTTCGTTCAGCTTTATAATATGATTAAAAGTAAAATTGTTTTCTATTATCGTGTGTGTATCACTATATATTAAAGAAAATAAATTTAGATTTATATAATTTTGTAATTGAAAATAATATAGATTTTATATTGATAAATTGATTAAAAAAGTGTTTAGAGAAATACAGTCATATTTTTTAAATAAAAAATTGCCAGACTATGTTACAATGACAATCATAACTATGTTATAATGGTTCTAAGTAGAAAAATATTTAAATCAA